AACTCAACATCATCATCACAAGGGCTCCACATGCCAAGCATCTGTGCTTCGTGAAGGCTTTCCAACTTCACCTCCAACAGTCCCCACTGTCTCCCTGTGAGGAGGCTATGCTAACTCCAATTTTCTGAATGGAAAATTTAGAGCCAGAGGGTAAAACAACTTTCTTGAGTCCACGCACTCGGAGAGTAGCAAGGTTGAGACTTATTCACAGGCCTGTCTACCTCCAAGATCTCCATATTTCCCCCTCTTCCAGGCTGCACAGGAAGAGATGGAGGAGAGGCAGCCAGCCATTAGAGTTCCAGAAAACCCAGCATGCTGATGGCTTTCTGAAAGACCTGGAAATGTCCATGGCTGGTGAGAAATGTGCATGGACCTGACAGTCGGTCTTTAGAGAACCTGCACACTTTCTAGTGTCCCAGTGCCCTTCTCTCTGCTTCTTCAAGCCCAGGCCCCAGTTTGCTCTCAGCTTCCTGCTGCTTCACTTGCAGCAAATCCTTCTCTACAGGGATGAGGCAAATCTCCTCGACCTTATGCTTATATTCCCCAGCTGGTCTGTCATTCTCATCTGCTCTGGGTGGGTAGTTGGACTAGTGCCTCCCTAAGTATATTCAACAGCATGCTAGTAGGGGTTAAGACAGAAAGATTTGTTGTTAAATTTGTTTGAGAAGCTTGGATTAAATAAAGGTAAGAGGATTATTTCCTATAGGACTTCTAAGGGCTTTTCATATTCTATTGAGATTTATTAAAATCTCAAGAGTCAGCAGGCCTTTAATCCCAGCTCCTCAGGAGACTGAGGCAGGAGGATCACAAGTTTGAGCTTCTCTGGGCAATTTAGTGAGACCCTGTTTCAAAACAAAAACAAACAAACTCAATGTGAAGGTGAAGGTTCTGGGTTCAGCCCTCATAGTAAAAACAAACAAACAAACAAACAAACACCCAAGACAGGGTATAGAATTTTCATTCTCCGAATTTATTTCACATGGAACTGTTTAATCAGGTAGTCCTGGGGATAGAATTCTGCCCTAGACAAGCCTTAGGAGGGACCTAAGAACCAGGCAAAGATTTAGGGGTGAGTTGAAGTGTACTTTAGGACATAATTAGAATAAATTGTGATTGTTAACAGGTAAGACTTAGAAACAAGAGGATTTAATTGTACTTAGATGTTTACTTCATTAAAAAGCTTTAGTTATAAACAAAGCTTGGTATGGTGACATTTTTGTTATGTGGTGGCTAAGTAGTTATTCTAGTAGTTTGTAGGTTTTATTTCAACATGGTAAAAAGAAGAAAGAATATTAATTTTTAGCCTAGGTGTTGTACACCCAGATTTATTTTATTTCATATTTTTCCTTTCTCTTAGCAAATCGGTGGTTATCTTGACGTGGGATATGTGAATCTACGCGTATGAAGGGGCAGTGACCATCGCCCCCTTATCCTCAGCAAGTCTGGGTGGGGAAGGTTGCCTGCCCACTTTGACCTAGGGGAAATGGCTACTGTTTCATGATTCGTTTTTCCACTCACAATTATACTATAGGCAACTCTTAAGCCTTATTACTGGAGTTGAATACCAGAGAGCAGTTTTGTTAGAGGAAATAACTATTTGGTGACACTTTCCCTTTTTTTATGTGTGAAGAAGTAAGAGCCCAGAGTGTTCAGCTACCTGGAAATCTTCACACAGAAGGCTCTGGTAGGTGAGGATTAGCACTCAGACTGCTGGCAGCAGGCAACGCACTTAGACACTACTTCTCTATAAGATCCTACATAGAATAGGAACTATTGCCATTGACAGCAACTCTGGGTATTTTCTGAAGCTTCATTAACTGCTGAGAACACCACTCTGACTTGCCAAGTCAGGAGGTAATGCTTTGACAAGCTCAAGTGACACAAATAAGGGGAACCCAACCCAAACATGTGCTCTTTTGATCTGCCCATCACCTCGCTCCATCCTGCTCCTCCAGCACATGCCAGGGTGACACCAATGAGCCACACACACTCAGGGGGCTGCCACCCACTGCCTTAGCACTAGAACCTGGGGGAGGGGAAGGGAATGGGAGATGCTGATGTCTATCCTTGTTTGCTTTGGTCTCTCACCTGGGGCTTCAGGTGAAGCTGGCTCAGCTTTTTTGTTTTTGGTACTGGGTATCGAACTCGGGTCCTTGTGCTTGCAGGGCAGGTAGCGGAACCACTGAGCTACAGCCTTGGCGCTGAGCTTCCCCCCCCACCCCCCCAGAGAGGGGACTTGACCTCCTTTTAAAGAATTCTGAAGAATATAAGTAAAACCTCACCAGGAGGGACTGGCACCTAATGGTTGGGTGGAAGTTAATGTCGCAAAGGACCTGACACAGATTCCCCTTTGTATATTGTCTACAGATGGATAATTTGATTTTAAAATCCAAACATTTAGAGCCAAAGATGTAGCTCAGTGGTAGAGTGCTTGCTTTGCATGGGAAAGGCCCTGGGTTTGACACCCAGGACTGAAAAACAAACAAACAAAAACCAAAACATCACACATTTATTGGTGGACACTATGCATTTAAATTAAAAAAAATCCTGTACATAGGGTAAATGTCTCCTTTTGCAAATAAGGAAAGATAAAAAGTCAAGTACCTTGCCCAAGGTCATCATGTGGTAAGAGGTAGGTATGGCACTTGAGCCCAGGTCTTCTGAATTCCATGATGACAGCTTTCTTTTTTTTTTTGGTACTGGGGATCGAACTCAGGTCCTTCTGCTTGCTAGGCAGGTGGTGGAACCACTGAGCTAAATCCCTGGCCCTAATGACAGCTTTCTTTTAGACCACAGCTGCTTTTAAAGGAATTCCCAAAAATATACATAAAGATTTCACCAGGAGGGACTGGCCTAGCATGGACAAAGCCCCATGTTTATTTTTGTGTGGCATTTTGTAATTTTCAAAAGACTGTTACTTATAGTAGGTTCCACGAGTCTCATCACAAACCGGTGAGGTAGGAAATAATTTGACAGCTTAGAACACAGGCTAAATCTGTTATACCATGGTCTAAGTTTCCCCAACTCTATACCATTCCACTGATAGTCTCACTTTCTCTTATTCCAGGTGCTTTCTTACTCTCCATTCATATTTGGCTTCCTTTCCTTACTATTCTGCGGTGAGTTTCCTGGGGGTGCGAAGTCCCCCTTTGAACAGCCAGGGTCAAACATAACCATTCCTTCTCTGCCCTAGATGGAGTACAACTAACAGTACAACTAGATGCCCTAGATGTTAGTACAACTAACAGTAGCTAGTTGTACAGCATTTATTATGTGTCCAGCTTTACACTAAGCATTTTATATTTATTGTTTAATGCTCACAAAACCCCATGAAGTACCTGCTATTATCGGTCCCATTTTACAGTTGATGAACTGGACACATTAAAGATAAGTAGCTCGTCCAAGGTCAAAGAACTAGTGTGTAGTAAAGCTGGGCTGCAAACAAGCCACGGAGCAGAGAAGTGAGAATTAACAGCAGAGCCTTTGAAATCACTCAGCTTGAGGTCCTGCACAATTTTCAGACCAATCATCTGTCCTAGATTGGCTTGTCCAAAAACTATCCCAGAAACACAGAGTGCCAGCTGCCAGTTTGACAGGGATTCTGAAGACACAGCAGCCACCTCTTTCGTGGGGAGTCTAAAGTCACTCCCTCCTGCTCTGGTTGTGCCACGTGAAGGCTTCTATATGGATGACAACCAGGGAGTTTGCTCTTGCTATGTGTAGTGTGGCTGGGTGTGGAGGTGGGTTGTTGTGGGGTTGGGAGACAGCTGAGTTCCTGGAAGTTAGAGCAATAGCTCATCTGTGTCCCCATTCTGCCATCAAGGTCCCAAGTTCTTTGGAAATCTTCATTCACAGGACTAGGGTGGGAACTGTGTGTAGATATTTATGTTCAGTCAACACATATCTGTGGGATACTTGCCCTAAGCTAGGAGCTGGACAGAAGAATGGGGAGGACTCAAGCCCTTCCCTTGAGGAGCTCAAGGCCTAGAGGGGCACTGACAAGTGATCAGGGCCATGATGGGAAAAATCCAGCATGGTGGGAAAATAGGGACATGGAGATAGAGCAGGCAGTAGAGCAGGAAGGAGACCCTTACCTCCAGATCTCATCTTAAGATGAGCTGACTCTGTTAGCCATCTTAAGGGTCCCTCTATTCTGTCTCCCCTTGCTTCTGAATGTAGAAATCACTTCTGTCTGTCTAGGATGGTGAGTATAGGAGTTGGCTTGAGACCTCTCTTCTGTACATGTCCCTTTGTTCTTTCTAAGCATCACACTTGTTTGCTTCATATCATGAGCCTCGCTTTCCCCAGGGTCCAGACATATTGGTTCTACTTTAGTTTCTTTCTCATAAGCAGCACTTCTCAGGCCTGCTTAGATGGATCCTTTTGGCTGAAGTAGTAGCAGATTGGATCCTATGGGATCAGTACACCCCTTATCTCCTGCTCTACCCCAGGCCCTCTCTGAAGAGTTGGGCACAGGTGCCATGCCACTAGGAATAATGCCTAACAATGAGAGAAATTGCTCAGCCATTGCTGGAGCCCTTGGGCATGGTGGCACCACAGGGAAGGACTCAGCCCACCTGGAAGTGGCTGCCTGGCCTTTAGCTTGTGTCATGGAGCTCAGTGGCTGCTAATCTCTGGGGTCTAAAGTCAGTTCATCCTGCTGGATCAGATGCTCCTTGGGTTCCTAAAGACCCTGGAGGAAATCACATGAAGGGAGGAGAGCTCCATCTTTTGTTAACTGAGGCATGTTTGGGTGATTAACCTAAGAAAGCAAAGCCATTTTGGTCCAGAGGATTATGTTTGAGGTGTGCTGGGAACCAAGAAGTAACTTATTGCCTACAAGGCAAACCAAACCCAAGATGACTCTCAGGTAATTGCTTGCTTTTCCTTCTGCCAAGCCAAATGGCCTGGGATATAAAGGCCACTCTACTCTATTGTCTCTGAACTTTCATCTTCAGCTCTTGCTAAAGGGTCACTAGCTCATCTCCAAGCTCCTCGCCATGAACAGACAAGCCTGCAAGGCACCTGGAGGCAGGAGCCAGGGCTTCTCTGGCCACTCGGCTGCGGTCTCTGGTGGCAGTAGGATGAGCTGTGTGGCCCGCACTGGGGGCTCTGGTGGAGGGGCTTGTGGGTTCCAGAGTGGAGCAGGCAGCTTTGGCAGTTGCAGCCTCTATAACCTGGGTGGCAGGAAGAGCATCTCTATCAGTGTGGCAGCCGGTGGCTCCCAGGCTGGTGGCTTTGGTGGAGGGCACAGCAGCTGTGGCAGTGGCTTCAGGGGTGGCTATGGAGGTGGCTTTGCGGGTGGCTACAGAGGCAGCTTTGGCAGTAGCTTTGGTGGTAGCAGAGGAATGGGAAGTGGGTTTGGTGGAGCTGGTGGCTTTGGAGTGGCTGGTGGCTTGGGTGGTCTTGTTGGCTTTGGTGGGCCTGGGGGCTTTGGCCCCGGCTGCTTTCTTGGGGGAATCCAGGAAGTGACTGTCAATCAGAGCCTCCTACATCCCCTCCATATGGAGATTGACCCCCAAATTGGGCAAGTAAAGGCCCAGGAGCGTGAGCAGATCAAGAGTCTCAACAATAAGTTTGCCTCCTTCATTGATAAGGTAATGGGACTGATTGGGCACCCATTTCTAGGCTAGGACTTTGAACTTAACTTTTAGACAGTGTTCAAATGTGTCCTGCATAGACCAGGCTAGACAGTGAGAGTTGGGCCTCGCTCCTCCCAGAACAATGAGCATGTTGCACTTGCCTTTTGGGCCATTTTTCTATCTGTGAAGTGTGGAAAGGATTCCTGGTCCTAACTTCCCCCTAGAGATGAGATGGGGGAAAATGAGGTGAGGGTCCAGGCATGCTCTTAGCACTCTGAAGAATGAGGTCATAGCCACAAAATCTGTAGAGTTCACTTTCATTTCTTCTTGAGATGCAATTTCTTGCTAACCCAAAATAGCTGGGAATCAATCTTGCATCAGTGCAAATCTTGTATCCCAGGACTTCTCCTCCATGATGCAACCTGGCAGATGGCTTACCTCCTGAATGACACTGTGCTTCAGCCCTTGTTAAATTGAGCTGCCCATGCTGGAGCAGAGAAAGTTGTGTGTAGTTTGTGGGGGAACAAACCAGGATGTGAAGTGGACCTAGGTCAGCTGGAATCTGAGTACCTGAAAAGAGGTCTTATTATGTGAAACATCTAGGGAAAAGTTAGACCTTGTGAACTATTTTCATCACTTTTATGAAGGTGAAAGAAGCTGACATCTAAAAAAACAATTTAAAATAACTTCATGCTAACTTCCTTTAGCTGTGTTCTGAAAGGTCCCAAAAGACTTAAGATAGGCCTAGGTTAGCTCTTAGCTTTGTCACTCAGTGTCTATGCCACTTTGGCAATTTAAGCTTTTGCACCTCAGTTTCCTAGTCTGTAAAATGGGGATTATACCACCTCTTGTACAAGTGATTGTAGGCGTAGGAGTAAATGAGACAGAATATGTGAGAATAGCAAGTAATAGCATAAATACTCAACAAAGCACAGTTTTGTCTTTTCTCATTCTCATCCATAGAGGCACTTGTGGATTGAAGAACTGGGTTCATTCTCCACATTTTCTCTGGGATAGGGGCTCTACCTGCCCAACCGAGGGGGCTCTTTTCCCTTCTCCCCCGACACAGGTGCGCTTCTTGGAGCAGCAGAACAAAGTCCTGGAGACCAAGTGGGAGCTGCTCCAGCAGCAGACCGTGGGCTCTGGTTCCATCCCCTACAGCTTGGAGCCTCTCTTTGAATCTCACATCAGCTCCCTGTGCAAGCGCCTGGACTCACTTCTGGGGGAGAGAGGGAGTCTGGAGGGAGAGTTGAAGAACATGCAGGACCTGGTGGAAGACTTCAAAAAGAAGTAAGGGCTCCAACGGGGGAGTTTCTCTTCCTTCCCTTTCTGGGGGATTAACAGGAAGGTGTGGTGCTAATTTGGGATTTCAATGATTCCTGACTGTGCCTTCAGTCAACTCTTAGATGGCTTTATCGAGCAGGCATGACCTAGCAGAAGGAGTTGACAGGGTGGGGCTGATTATTATATATTTTTCAATCTCCAGCAGGCCCTCTCCTTTACCAGCCCAACTGGATGGGAGTCTTCCCAAAAGTTAAACCCTGTAGGATGGGGAGCCTTCACACTTTATGTTACATGGGAGTCTCCTTGAAAGCTGTCAAAAGTGCATATTCCGCTGTTCCAGTCCTCATACTCTGAATCAGTAGGTGTGGACAGGCCCCAGGAGTCTGTTGCTCCCATCTCCTGGGATTCTAGGCAGAGAGTCTAGGGCTGTACACTGTAAAGTGCTCTTGCAATGTGTCACATCCAATCCCCTGTATCTGAAGCTTCAGTCAGCTTCCTCCTGCAGGTTCCAAGTTACAATTCACACTCTTTCTGGTCCATGAAGGGTGAACTGGGCCTCTCAAGGTGAGAGGGGACTCCTGACATCCGCAGGGTCAGGACCCATAGGGACAGGCACAGCTGCTCTGGCGAGGTCACCTTCCAACTCCACTATTCAAGCTGGTGGCCACTGGCTCTCTGGCAGGCTTCATTCTGGGTTCTGAGGATCCAGTGGCAACTCCCATTCATAAATCACAGAAACAGCTTTGTTCCTGGAATGGTTCCTATTCTCCAGTCTTCATGAAACCCAAACTCATGGCAGGAGAGTCCTTAACAGGCAGAGATCCTACAACTTCGATGCATTCATTCTTACCCCAAGTTCCTATAAGAAACTTTTGTAATTAAGGAAAGCAGAGCAAACAGACAGAAATACCCAGTGGGAGGAAACATCCCTTTGGGTCCTCTATGTGCACGTTGTGTTTTGTGAAGTCCACCTAAGAGCCCAGGAAGGCAGTTCGCTCCTTGACATCTTCCCCCATCCTGACTGCCCATGTCTCAGCTTGTCTACTGAATTTAGAGGGAAAAAGGTGAGGCAGCAGCCTGAGCACTGAGAGAACTCTGGAAAGCATCAGCTGCATGATTTTCAGGTCTCAATGCAAAATGGTAACTCAGGACCCTTGTTAAGAAATTATGAAGAAGTTCAAGTTTAAACAGAGCATTAAACCAAGTGTGAGGACCTGTGAGCCCTGGGGTCTGTGTACGTGCACAGGTCGCACACCCACAAAGCAGATCTTGTCTCTGGATGAGGAGATTCTGAAATGTCACTGTCCAGATATGTGTCTCTCTCTGTTGCAGGTATGAAGATGAGGTCAACAAATGCACTGTGGCAGAGAATGAGTTTGTGGGGCTCAAGAAGGTGGGTGAGCAGAATGAGCAGACCAAGCTTCCTTTCCTCCGCATGGAGGGAGCAGAGCCACCGATCCACAGAGCTGCTGTGGATGCGGCTGATATTTTCCTTACAATTTTGGAAATGTTTGAAGAAGGAAACTGCTCTGAGTACATTGCTGGTGGGGAAGACATCTTTGAACTCTACTGTGACTAATGAACTAATTAGTAATATGAACGAATAATGGATGTTTTATGTGTAGCATTAATCAGGATCTTCAGCCTTCACATGTATCCAAGATATTATTAATAACTATATTCAACTGTTGCTTATTTAAACCAATATCATCATAAAGATGAAGTAGTAAAAACACCCTCATTTATATTCAGGAGGTTGGGCTTTTGGTACTATATAACCAAATCACATATATATGGGTAAATGTTTTTTACCCTCAAACTACATGGGTGCTCTGTGCCTGGCTGATAAGGTTTGTATTTTGTTACAGAACTGATTTGATCTGTCAAAGTTATTGAAAGGAAGAAAACCACTTTGAATTTTCTTTCTTTTAAAAGGGGAAGTGAGAAGTCATACTTAGAGGGGCTGGGGGAGGGACACACAGGAGTTGAGGTCTGTGGGTGGGAGAGGCTCATTCTTTGGGTTTCTGCCATCTTTTTCAGGATATGGATGCCACTTACATGAGTAAAGTGGAGCTGCAGGCTAAGGTGGAGAGCCTGACAGATGAAGTCAACTTCCCGAGGACCCTCTATGACATGGTGATTCTTTGGTTTGCTAAGCTCCAGAGACTGCCCATTGGCATCTTCCCAAACCTGCCTCCCAAGTGTAACTTTAGAGGATGGTTGAGTAATAGGACACTAGAACACGGCTCAGTACTCAGCTCTGCTCCACCCAGGATATGTTAACTTAGCTCCCCCAGCCTGTGTATTCTGGGTCTCTGGGGCCAGTTCCCCTCTCTGTCTCAGTCCATTTTGCTCTATATCTTCCCCTCTGGCTCCTAGGTTAGCTTCTTCATAATACCCCTCCCTACTGTGGTTCCTTGGAGACCTACACAGCAGAGTTCACTGGATGATACTTTCAGGCCAATAACCTGATCATATTTGCACATTTCCTTTTTCTTTTAGCCTTGCTGTCTTGCATTCTTTAGTCTCTAGCCTGGCCTGAAATGTAAGCATATTTTTCTAACTATCCTACTCCTTGGCTCCATTCTTGGGGTATCTCTGCTAGTAGCGGATTTCCAGCATCCTCTGGGGCCAGTGACCATCCATTTTCCTGGCAGGAGCTGTCCCAGATGCAGAGCCATGTCCGTGACATGTCTGTGGTATTGTCCATGGACAACAACCGTGATCTGGACCTGGACAGCATCATTGCTGAGGTCCGCACCCAGTATGAGGAGATTGCCCAGAGAAGCAAGGCTGAAGCTGAGATGCTGTACCAGACCAAGGTGGGAACCTTCCCCGTCCCCTAAACTCTAGTTTTAGGTCCTGATGACCTTCATCAAGAATAGGCCAATGCTATGCAAAGGCGTGCTCACTGCTTTGTCCTCTGTCAGCTCGGAGAGCTGCAGACTACGGCTGGCAGGCATGGGGATGACCTGCGGAGCACCAAGAGAGAGATCCAGGAGCTCAACAGGGTGATCCAGAGGCTGCGGGCAGAGATTGAGAATGTCAAGAAGCAGGTGGGTCTGGGCTCAATCAGGAAATCCTGGAGGCCTTCTGGGCCTGGGGAGAAAGAGAAGTACCAGCCGGGTTCTTGTGCCACATGCTTCCATGGTGTTGTGGACTAGCAGTCTTTGGGAATCTCTGTTCTTCCAGATGTTCACTCAGAGACTAGGCCTCCTGGGGTGCTCTCTAAGGAGAGATGGTTTCCCATGCTGATTTGCCTAGCAAATTTTGCAACTGTGGTATTGGTCTTACCTAGGAAGCTCTGTGCAGAATCTTCCCTCAGCAGAGATACTTATCATACTCTTCACATAATCTTGATGGCTTCTTTTTATCACTGGAATGCAGTAATTAGGCAAAGGAGCCTGACAGTCTTGCAAGAAAGATCACTGTCTAACAACCCATTACGACCTCTGCCAGCCTAGGAAGGCCAATCTGTGTTCCTTTTCTTGATGAGCCATGAGTTGATTTCAGTGGACCAAGGATGAAGTAACCAATGGCAACATTGTTTTTCTGAGCATGTTCCATTGGGATGTCTAAGAAAGGGAAGGAAGATTGCTAGATGAGGGGAAGAGATCTCACAGGAACAACCAGGTATTTGTTTCCTATTTCTTAGTGGCTATGCTAATACTCTTCCTACCCTTCATCCCAGAATGCCAACCTGCAGGCAGCCATCACAGAAGCTGAGCAACGGGGGGAGATGGCCCTCAAGGATGCCAATGCCAAGCTCCAAGACTTACAGGCTGCACTACAGAAAGCCAAGGATGACCTGGCCCGGTTATTATGTGACTACCAGGAGCTGATGAATGTCAAGCTGGCCCTGGATGTGGAAATTGCCACCTACCGCAAGCTGCTGGAGGGCGAGGAGTGCAGGTGAGGGGCTGTGGATTCAGCATCCTTCAGATACGATTTTAGAGTGATCTTTAATAATGAAGGGAGGAGGGACAGGCATAGTGGCGCATGCCTGTAATCTCAGGCTGAGGAGAGGGAGGTTGAGTGAGGCTGAGGCAGGAGGATCACCATGAGTTTGAGGCCAGCCTGGGCTACATAGTGAGTTTAAGGCCAGCCTGAACTACAGAGTGAGATCCTGCCTCAAAAAAAAAAAAAAAAAAAAAAAAAAAAACAAGAAGAAAAAGAAGGGGAAGAGGAAGGGGAAGGGGGAGAAGGCGAAGGGGAAGGAGAAGGAGAAGAAGAAAGGGCCAAGATGATAGAAGAGACAAAGGGCAAAGAGTCTTCTGAATGACAAAGTTAAGGATTTAAACCTTACTACTTTTCATCAGCTGGTACCATCTAATTCTCTGATTAATCATGGACATCAATATTGAATTACATATGTCTATTGATGCTTGCTATGTACAATGTGTTAGAAAAAGTGCTTTGGAGTTATGATAAGAGTTAAGGGGCCAGGGATTTAGCTCAGTGGTTTCACTGCCTGCTGAGCAAGCGCAAGGACCTGAGTTGGATCCCCGGTACAAAACAAAAAAAAAGAGTTATAGATCAGAGTTGTCCACTGGAACTTTCTGAGATGATGAAAATGTTCTATACCTGTGCTGTGCAGTACAGTCACCATTAGCCACTTCATTTCAAATGTGGCCAGTGTAATGGAGGAACTAAAATTGACATTGAATTCAAATTAAGTGGCTTCATGTGCTTAGTGGCTACCATACTGGAGAGTTCAGCATGGACAGTGCTGTAACCCCTCATCCCAGAAGCCGAGTCCATATGGGCAAGTGGTTGATACATACATATGCTCCATGCCATGTATACTCAGGCCATGTCTACTCAGACACTTGACAGGCCTGCTCCATGAGCCACACCAAAGCCCAGGATGGTGGGCAGAGCAGGGGCACTTTGAAATTCATCATGTGTTGAGGGTCAGCCTCTCTCTTATTTTCTCCACTTGGAACAACCACCACCATCACCACCACTGCATCTCTCTGCCAGAGCTCACTGGGGAAGGCTTCTTGAAAAGGAAAGTTGGACTAAAAATCTCAGAAAGACTGGGAAGGGTGTGTTAGGGTGGGAAAATTGTCTCAGTGGGGGTGAAAGGTGAGGATGGGATAATCAAGAGGGAGTGGGTAGTTTGGAGCAGATATTAGGGCTAAGGGAAAGAGGGTGGGAAGATGGGGAGACGGAGTACCCTTGGCAGAGGTATTAGATGTTTTAGATGTGGGTCAGCCTCCTTTTCTAGGGAGACAAACTCTTGGTGTAGTCTTTCTTCCCCCAGAAGCCTGACCCATAGTAAGGTACATGGGAAAATGTAGGTTAAGGATCCTCAGCTGTTTGGCTATTGACTCCCTGCAAAAATAATTCACATCTCCATCTCTTCTTTTTCAGGATGTCTGGAGAGTGTCAGAATGCTGTGAGCATGTGTAAGTAACGCATTAAAAAATCTTTTCCCTGGGATGTAAAATGGGCAATTGAAAATGTCCTCACTAACTGATCTTCAGGCAAGAGGGCTTGACTCATCTAAGAGGTCACTGCAAGGCAGCTAAGATCTCTGGCATGGCCACACAGTCTGTCCGTTGTGTAAGTGGCAGTCTCAAGGGCCAAAGCTCCAGCCCCTGTGGTTGTGGGGTGTGCCATAGGTTGAAGAACCTGAAATTTCTGTGGATGCATCTGGTTCCCATTCTTAGACAAGGGCACCCAAGAGCTGGGTTCACTCTTTTTATGTGTAAACTGAGGCTGTACGTTATACAGCTGAGCCTGAGCAGGGGAGGGCCTCTGGATCCCAAACCTTTACTTGAATGCAGTGTCTATTCTCCTGCAGCTGTGGTCAACAATGTCACCTGCACCAGCAGTAGCTCTAGAAGAAGCCGTGGAGCCTTCAAAGGGGTCAGTGGCAGCAGCAGCAGCAGCAGTGGCTCCAGAGGCAGCAGCAGCAGCAGCAGTGGCAGCAGCTACAGAGCAGGCAGCAGTGGCAGTGGCAGTGGGGGAAGGGGCAACAACAGGGGCTACCAGAGTGCCAGCAGTGGGAGCAGACTTGGCAGTGGAGGCAGCAGCTCTGTGAGCCAGAGTGGAATAGGCTTCAGCTCTGGTGGCACCCAGAACTCTGTAGGCAGTGGCTACAAGCCTGGCAATGGAGGCAACATTGGTGTCCACTTCTCTCAGACAACCAGCTCCAGCCAGCAATGCTCCAAGTGACCCTTCAGGCCCAATTTCCATGCCCGCCTGCTTCTATCTGTCCCCAACTGCACTTTCCACTCTTTGCTTGGCATCAATGGATGCACATGGCTCAACTATGCTTTCCCTCAAGTTTCCTGGTGAAGGGGTTGAACTCCTGGCTCCTCCATCCATAAGTCCTCTCCTAGGCCAAGGAGATCTAGCAACTAGTCTGGGATGATAATGCTCCTGAAAGATCCCCTGCAGTGGGCCCTGACTTTGGGGGCCCAAGGACCATCTGAGCCATCTGGCCTGGCCCACCTCCCTCTCATGGCTTGGAACTGCGTGGGGAGGCAGTATGGTGGGGTCAGTGCTGGAGGGGGAAGGTCAAGATCCCTAAGCTGTTGGTTCTCAGGGGACCCTCCCCGTATCTAGGTATCATATCCCCACTCACTTCTGTCCTTTTAATGCCTTGAGCTGTGGATCCTCTAGTGATTAGTACATTGTATCTTTTTCCCCAATAAATTGCAGGTATGTCATATTCTGGTGTTTGCCTTTCACTTAAGGAGTCAAAGAACAGACCAAGGCCCAAGAGTAGAGGGAAATCAGGTTCTAGAAGTGAAGTGGTGATAATAAGGAACACTGAAGAGCCTTGGTTTCTCCTTTATCCACTTAGTTGGGTTCTATAACAGGTCTGCCGTAGAGTGTTCATGTTGTTAAATTGGGGACCTTCCCACTCCCAAGGAGATCGTCTCACCCACCCTCTTGCCTACAAGGAAGCCTCCAGGATCTGGCCTTGGAAGTGGAGCAAACAGATTCCACTGGGACCTTAGCCTCTTTGCTCCATCTCGCCCCAGCCAGACAGGAAATTCTGCAAACACAGCTCCTCAGATCTCAAAGGGTCAACACATAACAGCCTCTTTCTTCTGCATAGATTCTGAGCCAATTTTCAAAAAGAACAAATGGTGTGCTAGAGATGGTAGCACTTGTCCTGGCTTTGGTTCCCAGAACTCAAAACAAAACAAAACAAAACAAAACAAAAGGAAAGTTAATATTGCCTTCATTACCAACAAAGCAGATATTAGAGAATGGGAGCAGGGGATGGCATTAAAAAATATAGGTATCTGGATAGTTTCTCTAGTGTGAGAAACTGAAAATGTAAATAGGGACACTGTAAGAATCATCACCAACCCCCAGGAAAACACTCTGGAAGGTCTGCTGCATGTGCTGCTCAGCTTAACAGGAACAGACTATCTTGATCCAACCCAATCCTCCCTAGACTGGAGGAGTTGGGCCAGGGGACAGGCACTTCAGTCTCTTTATCCATCTGTATCAAGAACTCAGTCATGGGTGCTATCTCAGGGACCTTCACAGGGGTGTAGAGCTCAGTTAAAGTTAGAATGAATAGAGATGAATAAGGAGAGTGAGATCCCCCTTTCCCTCAAACTGGAAGGAAGCTGGGATATGTCAAACTGCGGGGCAGGGCAGAGCTGAAAGTTGACTCCTGTGAACCGTTGCCAGGAGGGAGCTACTGAGGGAGGAAGTGAAAGACTGAAGGATGCTTGGAACTGGGGGTGGGGTAAATTAAGAATGGCATGTTGGAGAGGAAGCCTGGGGCAGGCCTGGGAAGGAGAGTCTGGGCAGAGTACAGGAAGGGCAAGGGGACAGGGTTCAGCTGTCAGACCAAATCCCAGGAGAATTCCTTGACCAGCATCCTGTTCCATGTTCCTGACACAGACTGAGACATACTATAAGCCAGTGGAGCAGTCCCACAGAAGCTTTCAGGGGAAGGACGTTGTATCTGAGGCCAAGCTACGGGCTGGAAAGGATGGGATATTTCCAAGCCTATGGAAGACTGGCAATTCTGGACTTTCTCAGCTTTGTGGAATTCCTCAAATCCATTTCCAATTTGAAGACAAAAGGGGGGCGGTTCTTTATCTTTGAAGGGAGCCAACACTGGCAGAGTAGATATTTACCTCAATGGCATGGACAGGGGAGGTGACAGGAGCCTTATCAAACTGACACTTCAAATCCTACCGGTCATGTCTTTAGGATTAAAAAAATTCATCTCATAGTGGCAAATGGTTCTTTATTTTCCATCCTTTATCCTTTTTTATTCTTCATTCTGCCCCCTCTTCTTTAAAAGTTCTTTTCCTAGATTATAAAAGCAACGTATAGCAAAAATGTATAAAATTCAGCAAAATAAAACAGAAAATATTCTTTCCTTATATTCTGCCACCTTTTGACATTTTCCTACATTCATGCATGTGATGTGCAGGCACATATACATAGAGATATGTACTTATATAATTTACAGAGCAGAGTCTTACAATATATACTGCTTTCCAACTGGACTTTTAAAAAACCTAACTTTTTGTGTCTTTACTGTGTCATTACTGTTTTACTCATTCAGCAACTAGATTATCTATCATTTTCCTGACACTGTGCCAAGCCCCAGGATAAAGAGAAGAACACATATAGTTTATGCTCTCATAGAATTTACAGTTTAGCTTGGAAGAAATTCACCAATTAACATATTTCCATGATAACATGTATATGCAGACTATCATTTTCTTTTTCAGTACAGATTCTTATTTTAAAAAAGAAATTAAAGGTGCGTATTGGGAATTAAGCTATGGTGTTTTTCTTCTTTCTAGAGGTGTAACATACATTTTTTTCTGATCAGTAATGTCCTATCAAACATTTTTTTTTTTTTGGTACTGGAGATCGAACTTGGGATCTTGAACTTGCGATGCAGGCGGTGAAACTACTGAGCTAAATCCCCGGCCCTCAAACATTTTATTAAACCAAAACCAGAGAGATGACCATTAGAGCTCTTTGGTATCTTCTCATACTCAAGCTGAGTCAGACCAGTGGAATGCCATTTTTTGATAGGAAAGTTTTCGACAGGAAGAGGGATAGAGTTGGTACTGCAGAGCTTTAAGAATCACAATTTTAGCAAACCAATCCTTACCCAACCAAAAACCTAACAAAATGATTTGTACAGAAAAGATTTTAAACAAACTTACCCAAATACACTTGGCATGCTATAAGAAGAGGCTACCTTTTGGTCAATTTCTAGCAGACAACATACTTTCATTGGAAAAATGGTAATTTTAATGAAGCCACCATTTTTATCTTCATAGCATTAGCAAATAAAAAGTACACACATTTAATACTTAGATTTTTAAGTGGATAATTCCCAAAGCTCTGAGATTAGTTTACTGTATTAGCTTTAGTATTCATCAGTAAAAACACTTTCACAAAAATGATGCTTAAAAGAAAAGAGGCTTTTATAGAAACAGTGGGACTACACCAGGACTAGGAGAAGGCAGGGATAAAGGAACTGTAATCCCGAGACCAGGAGTTGATTTTCATAGGTAGTTTTTGGTTAAGGATATACTTTTCAGTTGATTCTTATAGCCAAGACTAGCTCCCCCTCCCATAATATTGGGCAGAAAATAAGAGCTTCAGAAATCTCAAAACAGGGGTAAGCTGGCTTGAATAATATCCTAGGTAAACATTCCCAAGTAGTCAAAATACTCAAACAGGTGGGTCACTGGGGTTGAAGGACTGGAGCTCTTACCCAAGTGACTGCTGTGAGCACATGAAGTTTGATGCAAAGCCTGCCTGTGGTATTTGGGACAGGGAAGGCTGGTACTAATGTTTTCCACGTTGTCAACACAGGGACTCATACACCAAGGAAAGGAGTCTTCCAAGTGTCCCAGAGTAGTCTGACTTGCAAAAATACCTGAGAAGTGTATCTACTTTGGCAGGCCCACGGAGATTACTGAATACAAGAAGGTGTTTAAGGGAAAGCTGAGGTCCTTGGAGGGTCAGGTGTATATTTTTATCCATTAGTAACTAACGTTAGTGAAGAGCTGCTGAACAAAGTTAGTTCCTCCAAGACGTGTTCTCTTGTTACCATTAAAAGAAGTCTCTGCCAGCCTACTTTGATGTCCGGAAAGTTCCCATTGTCTAATGGTGGGAGCTAGTGTTGCAGAGTGTTCTGGGCAGCTGGCTTGGCAGATGTCTTGCACAACACAGTCACCACTAAGTCACTGCTTAAGTCTAGTCCTCGGCCTTCTTTTTCTACTCAGTAGTCCAGAAACATCTCCTTAAATGCCAGAAAGTCCGTGAATGTGAGCAACATGTCAAATATGTCATCAGCCACTTCATCTTTACGGTGTTTTAACGTTGTTGTGAAAACTGACGTGTTGAATTTGGAAATCTGTTCTAGCAGCTGTTCTTCGATGTATTTTTCTATCAAAGAAAGATATTCATTAAAAATTGGTGTGTAGGTGAGTTTATTTTCTTCTGTGTCTTCAAACTCTTGGTAGTATTTGTTCATGAAACTTGTCTGCAGTATCTGAAACTTGGTATCCATGATAATGTCCTCTATGGACCCAACCACAGTATCAAATTCAGTTTCTGTCGCTGAAGAGATGAAAAAAGTGAAGCTTTCTTCCTCCGGGGCTTCCGTCACTTTCGATGCTGCATCCATTCTGACACCGTCGGGGGAAAACTTCCAGTTTGCGGCGGGGTACAGGCCTCTGCCAGTTCACAGCTTGATGGAGTCTGCACTTGTGCGTACCACGGTCCTACTTGTGCCCCATGCCCAGTTTGGCCAGGGTCACTGACCTCTAGGTGACACTCCCTGTCACCCGTCACCATGGCCAAGATCATCATTATAATGACTGTATAATATTCCATTATATGAATATAGCACATTTTGAAGGATATGTTATTTCTATTTTTTCCACTATAAAAAACATTCCTGTAATGAGCATGACTTTTCTCAACACTTGTATATCCCCCCTCCCCCAATACTGATGACGGAACCAAGGGGGACTTTATCACTGAGCAACACTGCCAGCCCTTTCAATTTTCTGTTTTGAGACAGGGGCTTGTTAAGTGACCATGTAACCCAGGCTGGGCTTAAACTTTCAGGACTTTTGCCTCAGCCTCCAAAGTAGCTGAAATGGCAGGAATGGGCACCACTCCAGTCCTATTTATTCTTGAAGATAGTTTTCTGGATGTGGAATTGCTGGGTCACTTAAAAATTTCCATTTTTATGGTCAAACTGCTCTCCAGAAAGTTGACATTGATTGTACCGATGTATACTTCTACAAGTAATGCATAAGACTTCCTGGTTCCCCATAGTCTCATGTAGTTTTACTGTTTTTCGACAGTTTTCTTGATTTTATTTTTCATTTCTTTAATTCCTAATGGAACTGAGCATTACCCAAACGCATATAGCTACTCAGTTTTCACTTTTTGGTGAACCGTCCCTTCATTTATTCAGTCCACTGTCTCTTTGAGTGGTCATTTTATTTTTCCTAGTAATCTGTATGTTCTTGTCATAGATTATTAAAGCTAGGCATTTGTTTTAAAACATATTAGAAACAAACTCTTTTAAATGCATAGCTCCATGAAAGTGATACCATATCCAACTAATGCTATGTTGTCTTGACTGGATGAAAGAATGACACATTCTGTTGGCTATCTCCGTGTGATCAGCCCTGAGGTAGGTCTCAAGTA